ATAGGACCAGTCCAAATCTCCCAACTGATGAGACTTGTGGAACAGCTTGAGGAGCGGGGGCATGAGATGGAGAGAGCAGACATCCTCTGGTGCCTTTGATCGATGGGCATTTCTCAAAGCTCAGGCTGGACAGTTTGTGGAAATAACTGAAATGTACTAGTGTGCCATATCCATAAAGACCATAAAGCCAGTTTTATTTTCCCTAAAATGCATTTTAGTCATTTTGGGAAATAATTTCCATTCCCTTGTATGTATAAGGACAGACATGCGCACCTATCCAAAACTATAATTCCATTTGGTAGAATGATAACGGCGTAGTCACGCAGCCTTCCACCAATTGCAGGCAAATGTCAAATGCTGTTAAAGGGAGGATAACGGGGATGTGCAAAAAAGTGGCCCTGTCGGGAGAAGGTAAGACAGAAGGCAGGGACCTACTGTTCCTTTCATTATTTTAGTTCACTATACCTTGGCCAGATGCCAGGTGCTAGGGGTTGGCAGAACAAAATCAGTCACCCCAAGCCAACTCTTAACCAATGCGCCACTGGGCCGGCCCAGGGCTCGCACTGTTGAGCGAGCTCTTAACCAACTGAGCCACTCGGCCGGCCCTAGTGTTATACTTTTAAAGGATAAATATTTTCTAGAATGGATTTTGAAGGAGTAATCATACCCTAATTACAATATCTTCTCTTCCAATAGAGAGCAGAGTTAAATATGTGCCTTTTAAATAAGAAAAGCAAATTTTAAGCTCAGCACAGAAGAATTATCCAATAAATAGGAAGTAATTTTTGCTATTGTCTGGTGCATTTTTGTTTTTTCACAGGTGTTCTAAATGTACATATAGAAGTTTTATCCATAGAAATAATGATAATAAATGTTATTTTAAAAACTAACCAATCTGCAGTTTCAGTACTTATGATTTACAAGCTAGGAAAGGAAGTTGGGTACAAAAGGCTGGTAAATTTGGTAGTAATTTAAAAATAAGGTCCATTTGTATAAACCTGAAAGAATGTCACAAACCATTATTTTCTTAAACATGAAAGAGAAAGATGTCTAATCTTAGTAAGTATTCAATCATAATAAAATGTATCTTTTAACCAAGGAACCATTATATTGGAAATTCTTCAGATTAAAATAGGTTTTCTAGCTCCTTTCCATTACTCCAGAGTGTTTGTGTACGTACACACACACATGGCATACAGCTCATTTCTCATCAACATAAGAGAAATTAGAACACTTTACTTTTATCATTAAAAAAGTTGTGTCATGATCAAATTTTGGCACATGTATGAGTCAATGTATGTTATAGAAATTCTCTTCAAAAATTAGTGTTAAGCCATTTTCATTTTAACATTTATTACAAATCACATTTTATAAACACTAGATAAATTACATACAAAAGCTGGACATAAATATACAAAAGCAAAAACAGTACTAAAAACAAAAGCAGTACTATCAATATAAGAGAAATAAGCTAATATAATGTCTACACATGTATAACTTAATAAAATTACTAATTTTTCATGAATTCAAAAGCTACTCAGAAATGAAATGTAGTATACTATAAGTGCTATCAAAGTTTAGAATTATAGAAACAAGAACCATAGCACTACTTATTTTTAAAAATATTTTCAATCATTGGGAAGACAAATGACTGTCCGTAAAGACAAATTAGACTTGGGTACAAGCTCTTATCTAACTGAAGAATATAAAATTTTAGGCTTTGGTTAATAGATACTAAATTTAGTGGAAAATTTTATAATAACAGCTCCCTTATATGTTATATTCCTGAGTTTTTGCAAAAATACCATAGATAAAATAAAGAACTCAATTTACAGCTTTGCATAACATTGTATTATATTTTTGAAAAACAAAAAGTACTGTGATTATTTTAACTGTGAATAATGGGGTTTAATAATGTAATCATGACTACAAGGAACGTATTTAATTTAGCTTAACCATGGGAAAATTTAATGCCCTGTGATCACTATTTGCAAAGCTTATTTGTAAATTATGATCAAAATTATATTAAACCTGTCACCAATTTTTATTTGCATGTTATGAAATCATTTTGATTTAAAGGAGAGGTTGATTATGTAGTATAGAATGTTCTTATAAAAAGATTGAAATGATGCAATGCTAATGGTTAGCACAAAGCCAGGCACAGGGTAAGTGGTCAATATTATTAATTTAACGTGAAAAGTCTTTTAATGTATTATTTCTGGACATCAATACAATTCAATGTAGTAGTTATTAATTAATCTGAAAATATCCAAAAAACAGTTTAAACTTGAAAATATAGTTTTAGTAACAATCATAAGAGGACTTTTTTACAAGTAGCTATTTTCAGTCTTACTGGGTTGTCGGAAAAGTCATGACGTATTTTTTCTGTTTTTCCTTGCAAAAATGTGTCATGACTTTTCTGACAACCCAACAGTTTTACCAAAATAGAATTAAATTGAATGTTCTTTTAAAAAATAGACTATGAAAACTAATTTCCTTTTAGCTGCTACATGCAATGTACTATAGATGGTAGGTTCAGTCGCTACTCACCAGATCAACCTCTCCACATCTTCTGAACTGATTACTTCCAATTACAACAAATCCTTTAGAACAGAGATTTCCCTGGAGACTGCATCTGGGAATTGGGTCCAAGAACGTGGACTTTTAAACAAGTAGCTGTCCCCTGCCTCCCGGTGAATTATTATGGTAGATTGATTTGGAAACTAATGCTTTAAAACAACCAAAATAATTTTATCATGGTTGAACATTACTTGATATGCGTGGCATATCTAATAAAAATCAAATTTATGTAGCTTTTAAATTTGCATAGCTTATCATCATGCCTAAGTATTTCTTACCTAAATATCACAAGGTTTTGTTCTAATTCTCCTAATAGCCCACACAGGCTGATAAAAACAGAAATCACTTTTTAGAAAACTGCTGGTCATTGGGCTCCTTACAATTTTAGTGTTGCATATACCTTTTCTTACTAGGAAGCAAAAGAGTCAGCTAGCAGTTGTATTAAAAAACTAAACAGGGTGGAAATTACTCAAATAATCATACTACTCACAAAGTAGTCTTTAAACAGCTATACCAACATCAGTTAGTAGAGTTACTTGCAAAACTGGTGATCAAATGCCTACTAATTTAAAAAATTCAATTTACAAAGTATTATGTCAACTCTGTGTACAAAATCTCATTTGCCATATTATGCAACTAGGAAGCAATTCTTTAACTGGATATGTATACATGAAAAAATGCACAAAGGTTCATTCTAACTGATCAACTGTAACAAACCCCTCTACATTAAAAAATAAAATAAGCAATGGAATGTATTCTCAAACAAATATCATGGAGCACTGAGGAAAGTTTAACTTATTAGAGATTTGAAAGAATGTTTAATTAGGATTACAATCATGAACTGTTAGCCACTTCCATTTTCTAATAATAGTATCATATGCAGGGAATCAAAACTGTAAGCTTATAGAAGTGGGTTAAATAGTTGTAAAGCTGATTACAACTACTTTATTTTAAATTAACTATTTTGAACCTCCAGTAAATGATGCAATATTCAACAATTTATTTGAAATCAACTTTAATAAAAGCCTTAGTAAAACCTTAGTAAAAGTCACTGCTAATACACAAATTGAAGAGGGCTTAATACCAAGTCCTTGGTTCCACAGTGCATTTTATATTCCCATCTGTATATCAGCAAAGTTGTAGAAGCTGTCTACATCTGCAGATGCTGTTTCCTTGTTTTCTGATACAAACATCTATTTTAAATATAAAAGAAACAAAAAATAAATACCAGTAATCCCCAAATTCCAAAGCCCATGTTCTCCACAGAACAAAGTCATAAGCTTACTATTTAAAAGAAATTCAAGTACATCATTTATATTTAATCTGTAGATTTTCTGTAGAATCCATGCAATATAGTTTCAATAGCTATAATGTAAGTTGAACTCTTTTAAAAGCACTTATGATCTAATTAAGGTCTTTGCTTTCATAATACTTTAGTTGTATTTTATTAAACTTGGAATTTTACTTTTTAAAATATGTGACAGTCAATATTATGAAAGCTACTGAAAAAAGAGGTTTATTTAAAGAACTCTTAGTTTCTTCTATTTTTTTAATGATCTCAATAGGCTGAGAAGCAAAACTTAAGATTATCATTTTTAAAGCTGCTGAAGATATAGTACTAATTTAAAATGAACTAGTTTCTAAAGAACAACAAAGCAATATTCAATAGAACCCTTCAAAAATAGCATTTACAATGTCAGCCAAGAAATAGAGACCTGAGTTCTATTCTAGCTTTATCATAAACTAGCTGTATGATGCTGAAAATTTAATAAACCTCTGGGCTCAGTTCCCACACCTGTATAATAAGAAAGTTGGATTAGATAATCTTTAATTCATTCAATTGAAAAACTCCAAATCATATAACCATTTTCTCTGTTTCCTTTTCTATTCAATCTGATTATATTTGCTCTCTATCTTAGTAGTGTGTGATGATAAAATGAGACAAAAGACAAAGTACTTTAAATTATGCAAATTCAAGGAACCATAAGCCACCTCAGAATATAAAACCAAAAATTTCCTGAATCAGACTAAAAAAACCAAAAATTTCCTGAGATATTTAACAAAAAATAATCAGATATATCTATATCTATCTATATCTATCTATCTACTCATTTAATCCTCTTATATGTTTGGTTTTAAAGTTATATTAAGTTACTTAAGTCTGAAATTCTTAAATAACAGCAACCTCATCAACATATCTAGAATACCTACATGTAATTATTTCTAGATTCAGTTAAAGTTCAATTTTTGAGGAAGCATTATTGAAACAAATAAAAATGAACACTGGGCAACGGGATCATCCATCTAAAGTATATAATCTTAGAAATATGTTGCTCCGCAACTTACAATGGGGTTACGTCCCAGTAAACCCATCATAAGTGGAAAATATTGTATAAGTTGGAACTGCATTTAATTCACCTAACCTAGCATCATTGCTTAGCTTAGCCTACCTTAAACATGCTCAGAACGCCTACAGTTGGGCAAAATCGTCCAACACAATGAATACACTGTAGAGTGTCAGTTTTTTACCCTCATGATTGTGTGGCTGACTGCAAGCGGCAGTTTGCTGCTGCTGCTGCCCAGCATCACGAGGGAGTGTGATAACGCATATCGCTACAAGTACAGTTTCTACTAAATGCCCATCACTTAAAGTAAAAAAATCTTAAGTAAAGCCATCATAAGTCAGGGACCATCAGTAAAACTTTTTTCAATATATCACTATTTTAAAAAAGGAAGTATTGAAGAAACATTTAATGAGAATTTTTACTTTAGAAACTTATGTATTATTGAAGATTTTTAATAAGTAGATTCTTATTTTGTAAATTTTTAAGCAATTCAAATTTTACTTTAGCAAGAAAAAAACAAAGCTTAGCTCCCAATTATTTAGCATAGGTTCTAAAAATCATGATGTACTTTTTTTTAATTCCATGCAACACCAGAGATAAAAAAAGTACTATTATTTGATTGTAAAGGAAAGGAAAGGAAAGGAAATGAAAAGGTTTGATTGAAATCTTATACCTTGGTCCCGTTGAATATCTCATTGACAATAATTTGACATCCTTCTACAGCACCATCTCCATTAAACTCCAAGGCAATAACAGAACCTATGAGCAAACCGAAGAAGTGTTATCAAAACCTATTTTAAAATTAATCTTTTATTCTTCCCTGAAGAATCTCCAGCCTTTTCTTTGGAGGTAAAAGAAAAGGAAGCAGGAAGTAGACTGATGGGACACATCACTTCAGCTACTTCTTCAACTCTAACCATAAAACTTAACAGAGTCTCATCACATGACAAGTAGCTTCAGTGCTACTACAGGACTCGTGTCACATTTTTAAGTGTTGTAAATAGTCTGGCTTTTCTGCTTTTCATTCATCTATAAAAACCATAAGAAATCCACCCATTTAGCAGTACAAAAAATAGTTGACAAAATGACAAAACAGATCAAAAGTAATTCAAGTCAACATAAGTAGGTTTTGCCAGCCAGCAAGATTTGCTTCCAACTCTCCTACTTACCAGCCAAGTTCTGGGCCACCAATAATGAAGCTAAGCCAAGTAGGAATTCAGGCCAGGCACCAAAAGTAATGACCATCTGAAAGTATTTTTCTTGAGTGTGCCTTAAAACTCCATTCTAGAACCAACGACCAAGTTTTTATTTTTTAAATTCTCTGAATATAATATTTATGCTTCCTTTCCCATACATTAATTTGAATACTTTTAAACCACCTGTACTTTAAATTCTGGTATAAAGATTCATGATTTAGTTTGGCTTGGATTTAAATTGGCACTGCTGGTTTCAAACTGTTGGCAAACATGGCCATAAGTTAGCCAAGCAAAATATGCCCTTCAATTCAATTAATATTTATCCAGCTATCACTATATTCTTAATAGGTTTGCTTTTTATCTCCCACAGTAATGGAGAAGTCCTGACCTCCAGGAAATTATAAATTTCTTGAAAAAAGACATAAACTCATTAAACAAATACAGAACAACAGAGAATAATGAAGTACTAAGTAATGAAACACTAAGGTGAATGTAGTCGTGTGTCACAGGACAAGGCACAAGAATGAGAGAAAAGATCACACTACACTGGGCACCAAAATAACTGAAGGCTTGTGATTTAATAAGGCAACAAATACAGAAAAGACAGGATATTTAACAGTCAGTCAACTGTACAATTAGATACAGAGAACAAATTAAAGTATGAGTTTTCAGCATTACAGTGTATAGATCAAGACTGGTGCTGAGTAAAGAAAAGAAGGTAACTGGGGAACCTTTTCTCAGAAAAATTGATGATTCTATGTCTGGGGCAAAAAATGGGCAAGATCAACCTGGATTATCTTGAACCAAAAAGCAATGTGACTATCAAAGGCCAATGGGGCTGTATCAAAAGGACACAGAAGCCAGCTTGAAAGGGCTCATGGTGGCCAAAGATGAGACATGGTGAGATCAAAAGGAATAATGACTGTAACTTATTAAAACATTCTGAATATATTAAAAGTCATGGGCTCCTAATGATATTTAGAAAAGAGGGAAACAAAATTCACTAGACACCACTGTGGGTTGCTAGGGCACCAAATCATTACTCTGAAAATTGATGCTTAATTATTTTCCCTTTATTTATTCTGCTTTTATGATATGAAACATTTCAAGTTACCCAAACAGCTCTGGCGTACAAGAGTTTCTGTTAACATCCATTAATAAATGCAGAGGTAGTGACATGATTAGAAAATGATCACTTTGTACCTCCTAATAAAATAATTGGACCAAGCAACAATCATCAATGGTTTTAGCATCCCACAGGGAATACAGACAGGAAACTGCAATAAGATGATAAGGCTGTCACCACCTGAACATAATAATCAATCTTAGCATCAAACATTATGTATTCTCTCATTTAATGATATAGGAAGTAATACCACCTGTGAAATATTCTGGCCAAAAACCCCCCACCTAAACTTGAGTGTAAACAAGGCTTTAATTAACTTCCAGTCTATAAGAACTACAGAGGAACAAATTAAACGCATGCATACCATAGGACAATTGACCAGGTTTCTTTTTACAGACAAAAAGGCATGACAAAAAGGGGAGGGGGAACACCAGTTTCTGGTTAAGAGAGAGATAAGATACAAAAAAAACATATATAGTGAGTGGGCCAATTTTAGATCTGGATCAAATTAACTGTAAAAATACATAAAGAATGTTTTTAGACAAGTAGGGAAATTTGAATATGCACTGGGTATTAGATGATATTAAGGAACTGTTAATCATGATACTTGTGATAATATATTGTGGTTACTTAAGAAAACATTCGTTTTTAATTTTGTTTAAGATACATACTGTAATACTTAGGGATGAAATGATAGGACATATCAAAATATGATTAAAATACTTCAGCAAAACAGAGTATAAATTATTTTTTTTTAAAAAATTTTATTGGCGAACAGCCACGGTCATTGGTTACAAATTACTTTCATGCTAAAATGGCATAGTTGACTCTTTTAAAGGGGGGGGCACAGCTCACACAGCAGCCCATGCGGGGATCAAACCGGCAACCTTGGTATTATCAGCATGATGCTCTAACCACCTGAGCTAACCGGTCACCCCTAAATTATTTTTTAAAGCATGGCAAAAAGTTGATAAAACTAGGGAATGGGTACACATGGGGTCATTGTACTCTCTTCTTTTGAGTCAAGATAGTACATTTGGAAATTTGCAAAAAAGCATTTAAAAGGCATTTTAAACCAAATAAATTCTTAACAAAAAAGAAAAAGTTGATAATAAGTGTAGGGTTCCAGTTTTGCAGAAAGTGGCAAGTTTGAATTAAAGCAGAATAGGGTATCCTTTTATTCAGGATTACTACAAGGAAATACAGCAGATATATTTTTTTAGTCAGACATTTATTACTGAAGTTCCTGTATTTTACAAAGACAACATAATTTAGAATTTAAAAAATCCAATTTTGGTAGAATTACTCAGGTATGTAACTTGGTTGATATTCTTGGAATAGAATATGATGAACTTCAATAAGTGACCTAATAATTTTTCAACAAAGAAACACCAACAAAAAAGGTGGACAAGTACATTAATTTTGATTAACATGTGTGGATAATCCTAAATGTAAACAACTACAATGCTGACAATGCACTTTTTAAGCAGTCCTATTTGTCTTTCTATCTAATAATAATGTCTACTGTGATTATTTCAAACTGAACTATGAGGTCAACAAGGATCACTGGTCATGTTTTTAGTATTTTAATGTGCATGTCTTATCAAATAGCTCATATTAGCTTTACCTCTAAATATTTGAACTATCTTAAAAGATTGAGACTTTAAAGTAAACAAAAAAAGAATCCTGAATGTCCATCCTATCTAATCAACTCTTGTGTGTAATCTAACATGACCTTGGAACAAGCCACTATCATGCCTCAATTAGATTACAGCAACAGCCTCCCATTGGGAGACTCCCATTGGGGGTCTTTCTGCTTCCCCCTTAGAGCAACCAGAGTGATAAAAGTTAGATTTTTTTTTTTTTAGCTGAGCCATCCCGCCACCTGTTGGCAGCTCACGGCTGCTCAGCTTGGGCTGACTCGAACCGCTGTTGCTCAGAGCTCAAACTCTTGAGCGAGCTCTTAACCAACTGAGCCACTCAGCCGGCCCTAAAAGTTAGATTTTAAAGGGACCATGACATTCTTCTGCTTAAAAGCCTCCAATAAAATATGATCTATATTTTTCTTATTTTTATTTGTTCTAAAAAATGAATGACAGTAATAACATTAACAATGTATTAGGTATTTATAGCATAGTAATAGTAAAATTATAATGACACAGGGATGGAAGATTTGAAAATATAATATTATTAGGACCTTATATACTACAGGTGAAGTGGTATATTATTATTATAAGGTGGACTCAAATGATTTAAATATGTATACTGTAAAACCTAAGGTGACCATTAAATAAGATTTAGAAAAATAAATCAATAGAGAAGATAAAATGGAATTATAAAAAATGCCCAATTAAACAGAAGAGAAAGAAACACTTCTCAACTCATTTTATGAGGCCAGCATTACACTAATATCAAGCCAGACAAAGGTATTACAAGAAAACTACAGACCAATATCCCTCATGAACAAAGATGTAGAAATCCTCAATAAAATATTAGCAAATTGAATCTGGCAATATGTTAAAAGTATAATACATCATGATCAAGGAGGTTCATCTCAGGAATACAAGGCTTATTTAACATTCAAAATCAACAAAAGTCATCCACTAGATTAAATGACTCAACAAAAAGTGATCATCTCAATAAATGCAGAAAAAGCATTCAACAAAATCCAACATCCATGTGTGATAAAAACTCAACAAAGTAGGAAGAGAATGAAACTCCCTTAGCCTAATAAAAGGTATATATGAAAAACCTACAACTAACATCATTCTTAATCGTGAGATTGAACACTTTCACCCTGAGATCAGTAACTGAGCAAGGATGTCCTCTTCTCACTATTCTATACAACACATCATCGTGCAAGTCCTAACTCGTATAATAATACAAGAAATAAAAGGCATATCAAAGGACAGAAGAACCATCCTGAAAGAGCTCCCAAAGGCTAAAACTGGAACAATTTGATAGTATTGGATTATAATCCAAAGAATAAAATACATATCCATGAGCCCCTACTGGTAGACATAAATGACTGAATAAATAAATGGGAGGCCAGGGACAAATTTTTTTTACAGAAGAATTCCAAATAATGTATGTAGATACTCCCCTGTCAAGGAGGTGGAGCTTAATTCCCCTCTCCTTGAGTATCGGCTGGTCTGAGTGACTCAAATTCTGAGTAATGCAACATGGAAAGGGAAAAACAGGAACTTTACAGTGTTTGTGAAAACTAGCTAGATACCTCCAGAAACAAGCTAGTAAGGTCAACATCACCAGTGATAAGTCATGTTGATATCATGCACCTTCTGATATGATGTAATGAGAAGGGCACATCACCTCTTCTCCAAAACCCATAACCCCAGGCTAACCAGAGAAAACATCACACAAACCCAAATTGAGGGACATTCTACAAAATAACTTACCAGTACTGTTTAAACGTTTCAAGGTTATGAAAAACAAGAAAAGACTAAGGAACTGTCACAGATTAGAAGAGACTAAGGAGACATGACAACAAAATACAATGTGGGATCTTAGATTGAATTCTGGAACAGAAAAAGGACATAAGTGGCAAAACTGGTGAAATCTGAATAAAATGTATAGGTTAAGTTAATAGTATTTTACTTACGTTAGCTTCTTAGTTTTGACAAATGTACCATGGTTATGTTAACATTGTGGAAGCTGAGTAAAGTGTATATGGAAACTCTCTGTACTACCTTTGCAATTTTTCTGTAAATATAAAATTATTCCAATATAAAAAGTTTATTAAAAACATAAATAAAAATGTCTAGTAGCTTCTCATCTCATTCAGAACAGAAGCCAAAGTCGCTACAGTGACCTACAAGGTCCTATGTTATCTGATTCCTCCTCTACTACTTATCAGATCTCATCTATTATGTTTGTTGAATAAATGAAAGAATGACCCTCTAAAACAAAGGAACCCAAGTCTGAATAATCATTAGAATAATTTGAGGAATTTTAAAAATGCAGATTCCGAGGGCACATTGAGGAGATATTTTAATCGGTCTTTCTGGGGTGGGAGTTGGAAATTGATATTGTTAAAAGCACCCTAGAAGGTTCTGAAGATGTCAGGTTTGGAAGATTCTCAAGATGGAAAACACAATGAATTTTCTCATTAAGCAGTAAAATAGCTTTATTAATTAAAAGTAAGTAATTATGACTGCTTTAACAAAGGAGGAAAATTTAGAGACTCTGAAGTACAAACTACTTGAAATAAAAGTGAATTTTCCAAAGAATAAGTCCACCCTTAGCTCAGAACAGTGGTGTGCAACTGGGAACAATTTGGCTCCCTAGGGCGCATTTGGCAATGTGTGGAAACATTTTTGGTTGCCATAATTGGGGCAGTGTGCTACTGGCACCTAGTTGGCAGAGGCCAGGGATGCTAAACATCTATAATGTACAGGACAGCATCCCCCAACAAATAATTATCTGTCCTAAAATGTTAATAGTGCTGAAGTTGAGTAATACTCCTTAGAATGACTGATGGCCATTTTTAGATAAGGACCCAATCCATCCAACTCCTGCTGGAATATCGCCACAGCCTGTTCACTATTCCACACCAATGAATGCACTATTGGGCAGCTTAAAATCTTTCCCCAACTTTTTATTTTGAAAAATTCCAAACATTATAGAAAAGTTGAAAGAATAACAAATATGTATTTGCTCTTTTCCTATACTCATCAAATGTTAACATTTGCTTGGCCACATTTGCTTTATCACATGCTACACATGCATGTGTGCGTGCAAGCATGCATGCACACACACACTTCTTTTTTGTTTTACTGACCCATTTGAAAATAGCAGACATCATAATACTTCAGCATGCATCTCCTACATAACCACAATACCATTATCATACTTAAGGATACCGACAATAATTCCCTAATATCATCTTCAAACTTCCCCAGTTACCCCAAAAATGTCTTTTACAGCTTTATAGTTGACCCCTCTCTAGTCTAAGATCTAATTAAAGTTCATTCCTTGCAGTTAGTTGTTGTTATTTTCTAAACCAGAAGTCCCTGTCATTTTTGTTTTCCAGGACACTGTTTGAAGAGTCCTAGTCAGTTGTCTGTAGAATGTCTTCTATTTTAGATTTGTCTCATTGTTTCCTCATGGTGTCATTTAATATTTCCCTAGATTTCCTTTCTTCCCTATAAACTAGAAGTTAAGTCTTGGCTCGATTAGATTGAAGTTAAATATTTTTGGCAAGAATACTTGAACAGAGCGTCATACTTCTTCCACGTGGAATGCTGTGCTACTTAAACACAGACATTATATTTGGGTTAGGGCATCTATGAAACCACTAACATTATATGAGTATATAAATAATTAATTTAGATCTACTCATATGCTCATTTCATCCCTAATCCTCACACTTTAGAATGTCCATTACACTTATTACTTGGTTTAATTTCTGAAAACTTGCTGACAGTTTAAAGGTTCCTTTTTAATGTTCCATGAGAATGTTCCCATATCAAAATGGTTGCATGAAAGGAGCCAAGTCTTAATTTCCTATATATAACCTGGGATAGATTCACGCAGATTCATTGGCTTGGAGTGGATTCTTGATACTACTACGGTAACCACAAAGGGATATGAAATTCTGTATTAACACTTAAGGGCTGAGTCACACCCAGCATGTTATTAAAATTATCCTAACAATCCTCTAACATTTTCATACAAGTTTTTGCAGTTTATTACAACTTATGTATACATAAAGAACATGTAAATGTAGATGTGCCGTGTCTCTAGGGCATACCCAATAAGCATTGCTTATTACTATACATATTTGCTCAGGCCAGTCAAGAAAAGCCTGATGAGCCTTGAGCAAACGATGTCCCCACTCTGACAGATAAACAGTACCCTCTGTATCAGCACAACTTCAAATACATATAGGCAGATATAAACCCTTCAGGAGGGCACACAAACTCTAGTTTCTCTGTTTGCGGACATATTTTCAATATTTGAAATTTATTGGTAGCATTTGCCTGCTGGGAAAAATAATCCTAATCATGTACAGTAAGTTAATCATATTAAACACATAAAATAATAGTATACCATTTTAAAAAATATTTCTTAATTCTTTTCTAGTATGGTCAAAACACACTGAAGGCAGAAAGAATCCTTATTAAGTGCTTTATTCTGGGCAGGGAGAATGAAACGGTCATTTACTATAATACAATAATACAAGAATAATAAAATAAAAATAATGAAGTACATAATAATGGATGTGACTTTCAAGTACTACGATGACAGAATAGAAAAAAAAACAACCTAATGTCTGATTTCTAATTAGTTATATAGGGCTTTTTGAATGATGTGAAATTTTGACATTTCTGAATTGTAATAGGAAAAAACATAAAACAAATGAGAAAGAGAAGGCAATGTAAGAGACATGTTAAATGCCAGAGCAAAGCTAATCAGCATATCAAGAGAATAATCACAAAAGTATGCCAATCATCCAGAAGGTACCTTTGTTCACAAGAGGAAGGAAGTCAGGTGCTTTATCCCGAAAAACCCTTTGAGCATCCTCAGCTTTCATTGACACTTCCTTTGTCTGCACTAGGAAAAAGCCTTTACCAACCATCTGTGGAAAATAAAATTTCATTTAGATTTTAAAATGGCCTTCTGAGATTAAAACACTCTTTTCCCAGTCTAGTATTTTTCTGTATAAAATGTTACACAGCATGCTGTGACACAGTATGTTCGGTAGGTTAGGTGTATTAAATGCAGTTCCAACTTATATGATATTTTCCACTTATGATGGGTTTACTGGGACATAACACCATTGTAAGTTGAGGAGCATCATATTTCTAAGATTATATACTTTAGGTGGATGATCCCATTGCACAGCATTCATTTTTATTTGTTTCAATAATGCTTCCTCAAAAATTGAACTTTAGGGCTGGCCGAATGGCGTGTTGGTTAGGAGTTGGCTTGGGATGCCAGTTCTGAGCAGCAGGGCCCCGGTTGGAATCCCACATGAGGGCCAGTGACACTGCGCCCTCTACAGCTAAGATGGTGAACAACAGCTCGACCTGGAGCTGGGCTGCCGTGAATCGCCGTGGATGGCGTAGGCTGCAGTGGGGCTGGTAGGCAGCTGGTGGGAATTTTTATGATCTGCCGTGAGCCGCCGTCCAATGGCTGGTGACTGACTGCCTCAGCCGGGAAGAGCACAATGATAACACCAACATGGGCCAGTGAAGCCACGTCCTCCACGGCTAGACTGAAGAACAAAAGGACAGCAACTTGTCTGTTCCCTTTCCCTGATTCCCCAGTGCTGTTCCCCTCCTCCAATTCCCCAATAAAATCTTAAAAAAATATATGTTGAACTTTAGCTGCATCTAGAAATAATTACATGTAGGTATTTTCTAGATATGTTGATGAGGTTGCTGTTATTTAAAAATTTCAGACTTAAATAACAATATAACTTTAAAACCAAACATATGAGGATTAAATGAGTAGATATAGATATATCTGATTATTTTTCGATAAATTTTTGGTTTTATAGTCTGATTAAGGATTTTGTTTTAGTTATGACTCTAATACAGGATGTTTGTTGTAACAAGTTTTCACATACACAAGATTCTTCCTTCCAGGTGGGTGGTTCTGGTTGAGGACTACAATGCCTACTGTTAAGATTAAGGGTCACATAAATGTAAATAATCCCTCAAATTTTAAAACATAATTTAAAAAAGTTTTTTTGACTGTAACTAGCCGATGGAAGATTTAGTTTGGTGATACTGCAAAATGTCTAATGAGAGGAGAATGGTTAAATTACGGTGCTGTGACATGACAAAACAGTACTATATAGTTCATTAAATCTAACAAATGAAAATTGGGGGAAAGCTTATATAATACATTTAACCATCTCAGGGGGCAGGTACTATTATTACTCTCATTGTACAGATAACAAAACTAAGGCATGGAATGGTTAAGAAACCTGCCAAACGTCACACAACTATTAGGTAACAGAGTTGTCATTCAAACCCAAATAATCTGATTTCAGACTAAATAAATTAGAAATCATTCCTAAAAAGACTATTCAAGGTACAGTACATTATGATTTTTAAACTTATTTCTACTCTTCTTTATTTCTATAGTTGTCTACAATGAGTACATATTAAATTTTAAAATAATTATTAAAGTAGTTTTAAAAATGCAAAGTCATTCAACCACTTAATTTTTTTTAGCAAAGCCTACTGGGTTTACTTTTACATATATTACTTGAACATAACAAAATGTTCAATACAGAATATTTGAAAAACAAAAAACAGAAACAAAGAAATATCAACCAAGGTGCTACCACTCAAAGATGCCATATAGGTATGCTCCCATTTACTTTTCCCCCATTACAGAAATAATACATGTCCATTGTGAAATCTATAGAACTACAAAAAAGAATACCCTTCTCTTAATCTGCTTCCTAAGAATAACCATAGCTGTTAACGTTTTAGTACATATACTTTCTAGACTTATCTACTTTATTTTTTTAAAGATTTTATTGGGGAATTTGGGGAGGGGAACAGCGCTGGGGAATAGGGGAAGGGGAACAGACAAGTTGTTGTCCTTTTGTTCTTCAGTCTAGTTGTGGAGGCTGTCGCTTCACTGGCCCATGTTGGTATTATCACTGTGCTCTTCCTGGCTGAGGCAGTTGCTCGCAGGCCATTGGATGCCGCTCACAGTGGCTCACGCCACCTGCCAGCCAGCCCCACTGCAGCGTATGCTGTTGCCAGTGACTCATGGCAGCCCAGCTCCAGGTTGCACTGTTGTTCACCATCTTAGCTGTAGAGGGCACAGCGTCACTGGCCCTCATGTGGGATCTGAACCAGGGCCCCGCTGCTCAGAGGTGGCGTCCCAAGCCAACTCTTAACCAATGTGCCACTCAGCTGGCCCTAGACTTATCTACTTTAAAAAATCAGATACTTTATCTACAAATTTTCACTCACTTGACTGTGAACATTTTCCAGCTATTCTACTATAAAATCAGTTTTAATGGTTGATAGTATTTCATTCTATGACTACATTATTCCATACTATTCCATCAAATTGGATTCAAACTCAAATTTTTTTTCACAGCCCTCAATGGTGCCTCAGAAAAAAGAAACATACATAAAAAAGTAGCAAAAATTTACATGGACATTGCTGCCTGATGATGACTGCAAAGTTACTTAAAATATAAGAAACCATCCTATATCTGTTTCTAATTTTCTAGACTGCTTGTTACCTCTCATTTTATAGTCAGACACATAAACTGACATAGGTAAGATGATTAATTCAAAATACTGTTACCTAAAACCAAATAATGATCTATGATACTTTATTTGGATATTTCATTGCAGATATTTGCAGAGACTCTTTTTCATGAAAACTCTTCTACTCTTAAAAACTTTAAAATACTGGTAACTACCCAAGTTAAATTATGCAATATTTTACTTCTAAACAATTCAAACTACTTTTACTGTAATTTAGCCTGTGATATAGGTAAGAGCCAGCAAGAAATGTGATTTTTAGGTGAGAAAACTGAGGCCCAGTAACTTCTTTTGACTCCCTATGGAATGTGTTTTCTGCTTTACCAGCTTTTCTGGACTTCCTACCCTCTTAAGTTTTATACTTCCTATCTCAAAAACCCATTATGATATGTTTAGTTTATAGAAATAATGTGAAACAAAATTGTGTGATATTCCTAGGGTTTGACTAAATCAGAGTTAGTAATCACAGTTCTAGTCTAAGTTGTCCTAAGATATTTATGTTATAATACAAAAAAGATTTATTATTCCATCTCAGAACTAGCTGCTACACATATTCTCCTACGAATTCAAGCTTCATTTTAAAAAATATGTAATATTTCTTTTAATATGTAAATCACTGGTCTTTCAGCACATTTTGATACCCTCTTCACATGTACTTGGCATTTTCTTCTTTTAGTTCTCTTTTCATTCCTTAATTTTGTGATTTCAGAATTAGATAGGATAACTCTAGCAAAAAAGTGCCAGGGTTTTTCCTTCTAGGCTGGATGGTAGAATCTGCCGTGACTCCATGCACTTTTGGTCACATTCCTGCTCCCCCAGGTCTTAATATACTTTCTTTTACCACTGAGGCAGCCCAGCAGCATCAGGCTTAAGGGTTAAGATTTGGCCTCCAAAGCCTCACTGCCCTAGATTTAAATGGTGGCTCTGCTGTTCACCAGCTGAGTGACCGTTTTGCAAGTTACTTACCCTCCCTGCAGCTCATTTCCCTTATCTGTAAAAAGGGAAATAATGATGCCTATTTCAAAGGTTATTCTGAATTAAGTGAGTTAATTCACTTCAAATCCCTTACAACAGTGCCCAGTATATAGTAAACACTATATAAACGTTAGCTACTATTAGTAGAATTTTGTTTGTTTTAAATTATTATGTATTCCAAAAGCACAACTAAAGTACCTCACTCTTCCTGGTTATACTGCTTTCAAGGGCACACAACACTGCCTTTTTATATATCAGATACCAACGGTTAAAATGTTAAGAACATCTGATGACTCATGAAGAAATACTTTGTTTTGATGGCTTTTTTTCTTTACACATGCTGTATATGTCCATTCCTCATTACCTATCAAAAAGGAGTTTAACCTAAATAATTATATCTTTTGAAATCTGTATGTAGGTTTTTTGTAAAAAAAAAATCACCATACAATATAATGAAAATATTTTCCTCTCAGATGTTGGATTAACATAGCTCAAAGACTAGAAATACTTTTCTGTATCTTGCCAGATTCATAGCATGTTTTCATCAGATCGGTATACTAAAAAAAAAAATCAAAGTCTTAAAATTATACTTTGGCTTCTGTTGTTTTGAAACTAGACCTCAGATATACTTTGTAGATTTCAGACATGAGTTTTCTACATTGTCAAATGTGCAGTTACAGAGAGGGAGTCAATTTTAGGGTTTGTTTGTTTTTTCCTTAAAGACATTTCTTTAGACAGAATTGTTATGACTTTTAAAAAATCCACTCAAAAAGAGACTTGCTGAGTTCTCCATTTGCTTCTCCATTTCTGGAAGTTTGATTTTTCAGTTCAAACAGACTCTTCCTGATGAACGTATGATTAATGGATAATCAATATATCCTGCTGCTGGCTCTGTACATAGCTCCCACCAACATAGGCCTGCATCCTCAGTTATTTTTCAAGCAGAAGATGCTACCCAAAGGATGCTTCTCTACTCATGAACTCACCAATAGCTCCTGCTCATGAGCCTACAACCTCCACTGTCCCACCTCCCACCTCATTCTGCACCAACCTCCCCTTCATGGCAATAGGACAAGGGACAATAAGGAAAGTAATGTGGTGGTTGCTCTCACAGTCACAACAGGGTCCAAAAGTTGTATTCCTAAATGTCTTTCCTACCCCCTAACCAATTAAAATTCCAAATAAATTGCCCCACTATATAATTATAAAAGTTCATGCTTTACTACTCAATACTACTTTTGTGAACTTCCGTGGAAGTCATTTATTATAAAGAATGGAAGTCCTTTGAAGGCAGATAATTCTGTTCATGTATCTATATTTCAACAGCTCTAAGTTGCCACCAATTTTAAGATGCATTTCAGATAGCAAAAACGTGCAAAAAACAAATGTGCATCCCATAATCAATGAAATATGATAACAGAATAACTTGTGCACATTAAATGCTTAATAAATGCTTACTGAATTGAATTATATTTTTTAAAAGTTTCTTTGGGCAAGTATTTTGAGGCCTAAGCAACCAGCTTACAGATAAATCTGTAAGGGACAGAGGCCTATAACTTAAGGTTTGCCTGTATTTCTAATAGCCAATTTGAAAAGAATGTAAGTTCTCCGCGAAGTGGCATGTTTCTATCAAGGTTATGTCTGTTTCTCTTCTCTCTCCTTACCTCATCAATTAGTTTCCTGGCATTTGCAATAGTATAATCACCAGCAAATAATACCACTAGGCATGATTCATCACTGCTCTTCTGTCTTTGACCCCGGGATACGGGAACGATACTTCTATTGGCTTCTGTGGAAACACGGACAGCTTTGAGCTCTTCGGTACTAGGCAGAGGGACATGGTCCTGAACTACAGTATCTTCTGGAAGAAGACTCCAGTTGAGTTCTCCTGACACAGATGTAAAATCATGGATGTTGCTCCAGGTATTATTGAAGATACTTAACCCTGCATCTTTGAACTGGAAAGCTAATTCTGGGTAGTACCATTGAAAACAGCCAAACTTGATATTTGTGGAAGACTCAATAATGGGTTGAGTGGCACAGCACAAAAAGACTTCCAGCTTCCTACAGTCCCGCACACGAAACTGTTGGCAGGCTAGTGCGCACTTGCAATCGCTGCAATTCCGGAAAAACACACTGCCTTTCACGGGTCCCAGAAAAATGATGCAGTTAGTACAGTCATCAATAGTAACCGTAGCAGAGTGATCAAAAATATAGATGTTGCAGTTCTCACAGTCTTGAATGAGAAACTGTTGTCCTGCCACCTTCCCAGGTAAGCGACCTACTGTTTCACCCTTGAGTCCATTGAACATGTAGTCTTTTGGATCAACCTGCGGGAACAAAACACAGACCTTGAGTGTTATTAACATTATTTAACAAATTTTAATTGTCTACTGGGCCAGGCACAATTCTTAGTGTTAAAATAATACATTCCTGTTCTCACTGACTTTGCAACATAGTAAGAAAATGAACAGGACAATCTTTTTCCAATAAATAAAAGGCGAAAGGGGAAAATGGTAGAAGAAACTGTTATAGATAAAGAGTCAAGGACATTATCAATCAAACAATGTGTGGACATTGTTTGGATCCTGTTGCAAAGTACCAACTGTAAAAACACTTTTTTGAAACAATTGGGGAAATTCTCACACTCACACACAGCATACTTGATGATATTAAGGAATAATTCAGCTCTGACCCTTTTTCTGATGCTTCACTTTAAAAAATTCTTCTGCTTCTTTAAAAGCTTCTGAAATTGGAAATACACCCAGATTGAAATATATTTCTCTATCCTCCCATAAATTGATGAATGGGTCTTAGTTCCTAAACCCTGACTGATTTCTGCAGTATGCTCCAGAAAATGGAAGAACCTGAAGGTACAAATTTTATTCAAACATTTATTGAGATATTCCTACAATGTAATTTTTCAAATTTCACCATTTCCATCCTTAGATATTCTAAACTAAAGCTCACATAATTTTTTAAAACAGCATACCTGGAATCTTTCAGATTATTTTTTAAATTTTAACTGACCTATCAAACTATAGTCACTTAAAAGGCCATTTTTATTTTTCCAAAAAAATTTTTTAAAGATTTTATTGGGGAATTGGGGGAGGGAACAGCATTGGGGAATCGGGAAAGGGGAACAGACAAGTTGCTGTCCTTTTGTTTTTCAGTCTAGTTTTGGAGGACGTTGCTTCACTGGCCCATGTGGTATTGTGATCACTGTGCTCTTTCCGGGCAAGGCAGATCGGTCGTTGGCCATTGGACAGCCTGCTCACAGCAGCTTACGCCGCCTGCCAGCTGCTCACGCTGGCTGCTGGCCACTCATGGTAGCTCAAGGCAGCCCACTGCAGCCTACGCCGTTGCCGGCAACTCACGGCAGCCCAGCTCCAAGTTGAGCTGTTATTCATCATCTTAGCTCTAGAGGGTGCGTCACTGGCCCTCATGTGGGATCCGAAACTGGCGGCCCTGCTGCTCAGAGCTCGTGCTCCCAAGCCAACTCTTAACCAACGAGCCACTTGGCTGACCCTTCAAATTACTTTTGAATCTACTTGTAATGTTTTACCTCTTTGTGAGTATATAAATTTCATGCAAAACTATTCATGCACCAGAAACAGGCTCCCAAAGATCCAGTATGTAAAAATTCAGTAATTTAATCATCTTAATCATCAGCAAACTAGCTTAATGCGACTTATTCAATATAGCAAAATAAATGTTGTTCTTATCCAGTTTTACATAATGTATTAAAGGGAGTACTGGTCTGTAGCATGAGGCAACAAAAGAGGCACTTGTTTTCCAGTCTCTATTTTGTTACCTATGAGCACACAATCTTGAAAAAGGCACTTTAACTTTCTGGATCTTCAGTCATTCAACCACTTGAACACCCAATATGAGCCAGACATTGTTTTAGGCACTAACATGAATATGAGCAGCTCTTTCCATAAAAGAAGTAAACACAAACCTAAACAGATGATTTAAAAATGACCTGGCTTTGTAATGAGAAATGCCCAGGATATTCTGGAAACAGAGTGGAAGGACACCTGGGGCAGCAGAAGTAGGGGTGTAAGGCTTTCTGTACAAAGTGAGAAAGAATAAGCTGGAGTTCACCAGGTCAAAGGGGTGGAAGTAAAGGACCCTCCCTTCCCATGGTAGGCAAAAGTGAAAGAATGAACAAAATAAAACTCTTCAGGGTGTGAGGAGAACTGAAAGCAGTTCAGAGTTACCATTGATACTGAAATGGAAGCAGATGAAGCTAGAGAGTTAGGCAGGGCCCATATTACAAAGCTTAGAAGCTATCCATAGGCAATAGGGTACCACAGAAGGATTTAAATAAGCAAAATTTACATTTCAGGAAGATTATTCTGGTAAGAATGAGGAAAAGTAGAACATGGATCTCAGAGGCTATTGCAGTCATCCAGAAAGGTCTGAAACTAGAGCAGTAGTTAGTAGGGAAGAGAAAGATGGGATGAATTTGAGAAAAACTGAGGAAGTAGAATCAGCAGATCTGGTAATTCAACAGCAGAAGGATGGGTCAAAAATGATTCCTAGTTCTCTAGTCCAATGTTTTTCAACTTTTTTGGCCACAATCTACATTAGTACAGCCCAGTACATGTAATTCTGAGTATTTGTGCATGCACACATACCAATGAACTAAAAGTTTCACAAAATAATACCCTTAGTTTATATTAAGCCCCCTATTATTTTCTCTTTCTCAAACCCACATTTGAAAAAGCACTGCTCTGGTTTATGTGACTGGATGTTGGCAGTGCCACACACCAAAAAAAAACCAAAACGGAAAATACTAGAGACAACACAGGTTTCATGTAGGAAGAGATGTTCAAGCAATTCCATTTCTGGGATTTTACAGGTGATGCTTGTATATATACAAGTACAGTGTCCACTTTGGTCTCTACCAAGACACTGAACTAGCACAGCTGCTGGCTCCCCATTGCTCTCAATCTACCCCTTAAGGGACTAAGTATGGAAAGTACCAAGAAAAGGGGAAACTATGAGAAACCCCTGTGGTGGAATGTGGGAGGATAAAATAGAAAAGGGACTGCTGCGATTTCTGCTCTTGCTTCCCTCACTCCCAAATCTTGAGATAGTGCATCACCCACACCCCCTGGGACTGAGACCTCTGGTCCAGACTTCCTTCAGAGTAAATTCAGGGGAAGGCAGGAACCCTGTGCTGGCGAAGAGCTGAGAATAAACAGGCGGGGACTTACTTTGACAGTTGTTCAGGACCTCTCCAAGCCCTCAGAACTGATGGATTAAAATCTAAGGAATGATTTCTAATACTGCTTCTCTCAATTATTCACTGGTCAAGTAAACCAAAAAAATAAAACCAACAAGAATATAGAAGATCCAAACCACACAATGAGTAAATTTGAGTTCTGCATCAATGAGTAGAATATGACGTGTGATCAAACAATACGGTGAATGTTTAAATAAAAAAAATTACAGTAAAAGACACATTGCCATAAATCCCCCTCAAAGTACTCCCCCTTGTTTTGAACACACTTATTCCATCACTCTTGCCATTTTCTTTATTTTTTGTTGAAGATTTTATTGGAGAATTGGGGGAGGGAACAGCATTGGGAAATCGGGGAAGGGAATAGACAAGTTGCTGTCTTTTTGTTCTTCAGTCTAGTTGTGGAGGATGTTGCTTCACTGGCCAATGTTGGTATTATCATTGCTCTCTTCCTAGGTGAGGCAGATCAGACGCTGGCCTCTGGACAGCCGCTCAAGGTGGCTCTTGGCAGCTCACACCAGCTGCCGGCCACTCACGCTGGCTGCCAGCCACTCACGGTAGCTTATGGCAGCCCACTGCAGCTTCACTGCAGCCTACACCGTCGCTGGCGACTCACAGCAGCCCAGCTCCAGGTCGAGCTGTTGTTCACCATCTTAGCTGTAGAGGGCAGTGTCTCACTGGCCCTCATGTGGGATCCAAACCAGGGCCCTGCTACTCAGAGCTGGCGTCCCAAGCCAGCTCTTAACCAACGCGCCACTCGGCCGGCTCACTCTTGCCACTTTCTGAAGCAGTTCTGGACATCCTCCTTCGTGAGTGTCTTTAGTTGTGCTGTCATGGCTGCCTCAATGTCCTGAATCATTTTGACTTTGGGGAAGAGCCAAAAGTCACACGATGCCAGATCCAATAATATAAGGTGGATGAGGACACACCATAATGGTATTTTTGTTTGTTTGTTTGTTTTCTTTGTTTTTTTTTTTTTTTTAGCTGAGCCGTCCTGCCATCTGTTCGCAGCTCAGCAGCAGCACAGCTCAGGCCAGGGATCAAATCTGCAACCCTGTTGCTCAGAGCTCACACTCTTGAGTGAGCTCTTAACCAACTGAGCTACTAGGCTGGCCCTTGTAATGTTTTTATTTGACAGAAATTGCCATACCAGAAACGATGTGTGACACAGAGCCTTTCTGCTGTGTTCACAAAATATGGTGAATGCTGCTGCTGAGTGCCATCCAACGGAAAGGCAGGGATCTTCAATATGGGAAGTGGCGCATCAAACCTTAGTAACAGTGTGTGACAAGTTTCAACTTGTTTGGTGCAGTCAGTCGGGTGTGAGCTACCATTGAAAGAAGGGGTGTTTTAAAGTGTGCTGTAAATCATGGATCACGAACAATGCATTAACATGAAATGGGCAAACAGTTTCATCCTCCATTGTGACAACACTCGGTGTCACACATCTCTTCTGGTATGGCAATTTCAGTCAAATAAAAACAATACGGCATGTCCTCATCCACCTTATTTACTGGATCTCGTACACTGTGACTTCTGGCTCTTCCCCAAAGTCAAAATGACCATGAAAGGTAAACGGTTTGAATCGATTCAGGACATCATGGCAGTGACAACAGTGCAACTAAAGACACTCACCAAAGAGGACTTCCAGAACTGCTTCAGTAAGTGGCAAGAGCGATGGGATAAGTGTGTTTGAAGTGAGGTGGAGTATTTTGAGGGGGATTAATAGCACTGTCTTTTACTGTAATACATTTTTAGTCTTTTTTTTTTAGCTGAGCCATCCTGCCACCTGTTGGCTATAATAAATTTTTTAATTTAAACATTCACCATATTTTGTGATCACACCTTGTATACGTACAATTTTTCTTAAGCACACATTAAAGATTTTTTTTTTGTAAAAATCATGTACTACATCATGAAGAAAGCCTCAACAAAATTTAAATAATAGATAACTTACAGGCAATGATATGGACCAACATGCAATTGTAACAAAAGGCACTTTAAAAAACTTTTGCCTATTTGAAAATTTAAAATATATACTGCTAAATAATTCATGGGTTAAAGAAGAAATTATAATCA